TATTTGTGTGGCTATAAATCATTTCATTAAGGCTAAAAGGGGAATTTAGAAGTTATTTTATTTCTAATTATAGTAACGTGACATTCCTTTTGGGACGGACTAAAGAGGAAAGGTGCCACATAAAATGGGACAGGAGGAGTAAGCAATTTGGTCAAGTTAATAAATTGCTTGGATATGACTTATGTAGTTTTACCTTATCCCTTGATGTGACTCTTCATAATTAATCGCTTTATCTTTTATGTTGGCTTTTTGTTTAAGCATAAAATTACAGCATTTATACAATTGAAATGTTTTAGGTCATCTGTTAATTTCTATAATGTTCTTGTTTTTCATATATATGGATCTTGTTGTGAGCCATTAGTAGATGTGGCAAATCATGTGGGAGATTTTCACTTGAGACATATTAAAGCTGAAGTTTGTTGTCCCAAGTTATAACATCTTCATCTCATTGCATTTGACATGATTACTATCTGAAGAATCAAAGACACTCTTCTTTGCCTCGAACTGCCTTTTGTTATTTGTGAATCGATATATTTGTTCAAGATTAATTGCCATAAGTTCACATTCAGGGGTTGTCTTCATATGTCATGTGAACCCTCTTTATGTCTAGTAAATCATACAATTTGTTTTCTACTTGCATAGGCATCACCAATACAGTTGGCTGGAAGGCAAGTCTACATTGAGGAAAGGAGACCAACCAGCAGTAGCGTTTCTCGTGGAGGAAGTATGTGCCTAAAAACTGATTCCAATTTAAACGTCTTGATCTTATTCTTATGTTGGTTATCATCTGTGCTTTTCAAGTCCTTTTGATCTAATTAATGACTATTGTTCTTGAATATTTTGACATATTTCTTTGCCATGACACTTAACCTTCATTTGTTAGTCCATTTTTTCTGAAGTGAGCCTGGGTAGGAAATATTCCTCGCTTAATTTTACTTTTGGATTGGGAGGCCACTTATTGAATTCTAAAAATGATTGTTCAGTTTTCATTGAGTGGGAAGCATGTGAAGCATAAAATCTCATTTGCTTGACGTAAGTGTATCTATGTCAAGAGGCACCACGAGTGTGGCTTAGTAGTCAGTGAAGTGGGTGCAAACCTTGGAGAGCATGGATCGAATTCCAGCATAGACAGAAAACACTAGGTGATTTATTCTCATCTGCCTAAGCGTCGGTAGGTAGAGTTACTTTGCACTTGTGTTGAGCAGCTAATGGGATGTAGCAGGTAACTTGTGCGGACACTATTATAAAAAATAGTATATGTGCTAAGAGGGAAAACAAGGGTGTTATCGTATGGGGCATATGAGGTGAATGTCTGAAATATTTGGAAGACCCAGAAACCTAGCACTGAAGGATGGACATAATGGAGTAGAATTGGTGATGGAATATTGTGGATAATGTGTTTCAAGAAAGATGATCGCTTGGTGAAGAGTCAAATAGGATATACAGAGGTGGTCTCCATTGAATATCTTGATTAAGCCTCCAAAAATAACACAATTCTGTAAGCTTCTTCAAGTTGAAATACACTCGCTTACTCTCTTGGATGGTGGGAGAAAAACAATGCACTGAAGGGACAATTAGGATAGGAATTAAACAGAAAGGACCAAAAAATTGGCACGCGCTATAACTTTTGGATTCACTAGTGGTATTGTCCTTGGCCAAAGTCCAGTATGGGATATGGTGTATTTGGCCTGCACCAACCTTAGTAATCACATGCCTTGGCTCTTTTTGTGTCCATGCCCCTGTGCTCGGCTAAGTTGCAGGATACATATGTGGGATTCGGTCAACCACATCGAATACTTTGACCAAAGTCCGTGGAGAAATTTGGGGGGTGGGGGGGATTGAGATTTAGATTTCTCAAAATAAAAGATAAAATAAATTTATGACATGGAAAATGGCATACCTTCAATATTATAGTCCTTTTGTCTCCTTTTTAGTTTTTCCTCTTGGTCAATATTCGTTGTTTCACCTTTCAGGCCAAACAGAGAGAAACTAAGAACTGAAAACTTTCTTTTTCTTTTTGAGGGGAAGAACGAGAGAGCTTGAAAGAAGAAGTTGGGGTCTTGGGAAAGACGACCCAGACAACCTTTCAAAAATTTAGAAATATCTTTATTGCTCTGTTTTATAATTTTGAATTTTTTAGCTGAATCCTAACATTTTGATTTTGCTGAAACGGGTTGTATTCGCACCCATCGGGTATCCACATCTATGTCCCACCCATCAACTTAGGTGCTCGGTATGGATTTTTTTCGTATGGTATATTATAGGGTGCACATATCTTTTTCTTTCTCGTGATTGGTCAATTTGTTGACGGAAAATCGCCCTTCTGCATGTCTTTGTTGCTTCATGCGAAATTCTATTGTATGAGTACAGATAGCTGATAAAGGAGGTACTAACATAATTCTATCATTCGGTTGGAAAATTGTGTAGCGTCTGTTGCCATTTGTTTTTGCTTTATTTGACCTACTTTTCTCTAACAGTCTTCTCTGAATGCCTTGATCAGGATCGGGAAGGGGAAGAGGCAGAGGAGGTCGTCCCGCCGGGCGACCTTTTGGCAGGGGAAGCAATCCTGATGATAGAGTGAAAGAGTAATGGCTACCGTGGTATATGATGATACTAGAGTATCAAAGGCCAAACTCGCAAACTAAGTTGTGATTCTGCAGATGAGGATCAATAAGAAGCATGGTTACTAGATAGCTTTTATATTTTTGATGGTATTGTCTTCTTATGGAAGGGATTATATTGTTGCTGGTTCTCTTTCCCTCACCCCCACCCCCCGAGTGTTTTGAGAGAGATTTTCCCCATCTTTCTCCTGTAGTTAAAGGTGTGTTAGTATTCTGCTTTTACTTCCTTTTGGCCTGCAATTCTAGAGGCAGTACTTGTAACTTTGGAGAGTGATGCCAAGGGTGAGAATATAGTGATGTTTTGCACTCACCTTCTTAAAATCTTTTTGATCTGTCTGACCTCTATGCAGTGCGATCAACCTCAGCAACCCCAAGGCCTCGGGTGAGATACATCTCTCCTCTATCCTCTGCCATTTTTAACACTAGCTCAACTCCTATATCACACTGTTATTGTGCATAAAAGCACAGGCTGCTTTATCATCAATGTAATCCTTGCCTCGTCTTCTTCTTCCTCATTGTTGTCTTCACTTCGTAGGGCATTGAGCTATCAAATGCCATTTGTCCTAGTCAAGCGCCTGGACAATTATAGAGCTTACAGACTGAGGGAGATAAGAGAGGATTAGAACCAAGTGAAATGCTGAGAGAAGAAATAATGATAGCATAAGCTGATTAAGTGAGAATAAGACACTTTAATGACACGTTAAGGGAAGTGGAGTAGATTGGTGTTAACATGAATTTATTGGAAAGACGAATTCTCGAAGACACCCGAATGTGTGGGTTAACAGTCAATAAAGTAAGTGATAATCATGAGAGATCAGGGTTTACTGTTAAGCAAGGTTTTGTAGAACGGGAAAATTTGAATCAAAAGTAGGAAAAGAAAGATGCGCTTGTGTGGAAGAATTAAGTTTGATGTAGATTTATGGAGGTGAATTAATTAGGAAACTAAAATATGTAAAGCCAAAATTACAACAGTTCTTTGCATCTCATTATTATAAATTTTGATGGATATACGAATTTCCATTTGACAGTTTTGGACTTCTGGTTGTATCTCTTTAGATCTTGCTGGTCCTGCTTCCTTGCCATGGTGTACCTTTTGTTCTTTTTTCTTTTGGTCCTCCGTCAGCTGTTTGGTATTTGGGGTTTGACTAATCTAAATTTGCGTCAAGAAGTTCCACTTTGGGGTTTAAAGGGCTTTCCACCAAAGATGGTATAGTTCCATGCTCGGAGTTTGAACTCGAAACTTTTGAAGGAGTGCCACCACAATTTTTGGTGATGAGGTGCACTTATTTATTAACGCGCGCTCTCTCTCTCTCTCTACTTTATCCTACGGCCAGTATGAACTAAACTTTTCAGTTTTTATGGCCTTTGGAGTTTTCTTCCAGAGCAAGGGAATAATAGATCATTTGCCATTTCAAAGAATAAAAACATTTTAAATATTTTTTCAACGCTTGACTATAAATAAAATTTAATTAATATTAACAAATTATGAACTTTAATCCTCTTCAAATGTTTTTTTCCTAACTTCATTAAGATATTGTCCATACGCGTCTAAATTTGACTTACTGGTGCCTCCATTATAGTTGAAAGATAGTATAATTCTTCAACTACATTTGTTATTTGTACCATACATAAATTCAACTGGTCATCCTCTCTTTACTTAGTTGTGAAGGCAAACAGGTATGAGAAAATCTTGAACGAGTTTCTGTTGTGGGAAAAGAAGAAAAAAGTTAAAAAAGAGTCACCAATTTAAAGGGGGGGAAAAATAATGAAAACAGGACCCCCCCCCCCCCCCCCCCCCCAAACATCTTCACTTTACTCTTGATAAATAAAGAGACAAAAATTACTTGTTTTTTTCCTAATATTTCCTTTTTATGAAGTCATCAATTTGGTCACTTTGGTGCAAAAAGCTATGGATGCTTACACGTTAATGGAAGCGGTGTCACGGAACACCATTAGTCGAAAAAATAATAATCAGATTTAGCTTGGACCCGACATCTTCAAGAGGTTGGCAAATCAAGCCCCAATGTATCCTAATTTTGCAATTTCTTAATCATGAGTCAATTTCTATCATTATAAAGAACATAAATCTATGTAGGGATTGAATCCACAATCTTATATGAGGTGACAGATAAGTAAACCAATGGACCATAGCTACTTTCATGTTTAATTATTGTTGTTATTATTTAATATTATTTTTAAAATGAAAAAAGATGTCAAGAAAAAATGTAATAATATGGCGAATTGTGTTTTATTCGAATAAGATATCGTTTAAGTTGATTTTGTCTTTCTTCGTTTCTTTAAATAAAACTAATCACTTGCAAAAAAAAATTGTGTACGCCCCTGACAAAAAACAATTGCACTATCCATAACTTTTTTCATAAAAGATTTCAGGAAAAAGAAAAGAAACACTACTACAATCAATGCCTAGTGCTTTAGTCTAACAGAGACAACAACTCTTTTTAAGTTTAATTTACCACAATTACTTCTACTTGCACTTCAAAAGTTTTAAAGAGAAAAAATAGGACCAAAACTTGGTTAAGAAGGAAAATAGTGGGAAATTGGAGCCATAATAAAGCACAAAAAGCAGAATTTCCTTTCCTTCATCACCACACCTCCTTCTTTACAGTATATATATATATATATATAAGGCCAATCATGCAACCTAACTTTACACTTTGTCTTTTCTACAAAGCCACCTCAAAATCTCTGCCCATTTTGTCATTCCTTTTAGCTATATGTGACCTACATACATTGCAATAACAAGTCTTATCAGAATAAACATACTATTAAGTATATCAAACATAAATCTTTCTACTAATGCACATCCAAGGTTATAGTATAGTGGTCAATGAAATAGGACGAAAGTCGTGTGAAGTCTCGGGGTTCAAAATGCAGCATAAAACATATTAGGTGATTTCTTCCACCCGTCTAAGCCTAGGTGGAAAAAACAAACTGAGTTCGTTTACAAGAAATTTGCTTGTTCTGATAGTAGGTCTAACCGATAACATGTAACCAGTAAAATAGTCAAGGTGTGCACAATTGGCTCGAACACCACCATTAATCATTATCAATAAAAACATAAAACTTTCTAGTATCAAGAACTACTATAATTCTGAACATTGAAGTTGAACTATTCTTGGGAACTCAAAGAACACTTGAAAACAATCAAAAGCAGTGGAATACTAACCTTATCCTCCATACTTAGAATAACCCTTTTTCTTGAATGCTGATCTTGTAAATAGCAAACAAGCAACTCCTAACCCCACGCCAACCAGTCCACCCAAGACTATAGCAATAGTCTTTTGAGTATTCTGTCTTGTTCCTACACCATCAAACACAACATATATTTCAAAGATTCAAAATTTGATTACGTCCTACTTCAAAAATGATCTCAGAAACCCATTAAAGAAAAATATATATATATGAATGCTACTTGGTAGCACTAGTCTTAACAGGAGAATGAACATCTATGCAGCCTTCCTTTTGCATTTTCAACTATCTTGTTCGGACTCGCCAAAAAAAATATGCGGGATGCGTGTTGATCCTTCAAAACTAGTTTATTCTTGGAGGATGGGACACTAGTACGACAACATTTTTGAAGAGTCCAAACAACATGCATTTTCTCACTATTTTTTACAATTCGTAACTTTATCACTACAACTTTAATCCCACAAAAAGGGCGGTCCGGTGTACTAAGCTCCCGCTATGCACCAGTACGGGAAAAAGCCGGACCACAAGGGTCGATTGTACGAAGCCTTATCATGCATTTCTGCAAGAGATTGTTCCTAATGCTCTAACCCGTGAGATCTTGGTAGCATGACAACAACTTTACCCGTTACGACTGTAATCCCAAACTAGTTAAGATTGACTATATGAATCATCTATTTCAATTTACCATTTGTACTTAATTCAGTCCATTATTATTTATTGATTGATAATATTAAAATTACCTGAGGGAGATAGTGATTTACTGGGCACACCATTGGGATAATAAGTGTAGCTAATGTAGCACTGTTGCAGATAAATTTGTGCAGAAATTGAATTCCCACATTCACTTTTAGCTCTGCCAGCACCATTTTTCACACAGTTCACACAGTCCCCACTTCCTAAATCACCTTCACACTGACCCAAAACATACACCGACTGATATCCACCTGCGTAAAACCCAGTATTCCCACTCGAAACCCCTTTAGCTATTTCTCCTAGAGCTGTATCAAGCCTATCACCAAACCCAGCTCCACTCGCCTGATTTTCCCCACATACCTTGAACAGCAACTCAGTAGCCCCAATCGTCTGAAACCCCACCATTTCATACCTCAAATAACACCCATTAAGCTGAATCCTAGCAGCAATAGATTGACCACACAGCTTCCTAGACATATCCGGGATTTTCTTAACACAATGGTTACAGACATCGCTTGAAAGATCGCCTCTGCATTGAAAAAGACCGGAAATTGCTGACTGGCCATTACCGGTGGTGGTTTTGTAGAACTTATTGGAAGAAGATTGAGAAATCAAGTTGTCAAAAAGGGTGTTTAGTGTTTGTGAGTAAATCCCAGATGGGTCTTGGAATTTCTGGTTAGCACAGCCTTTGTACACAAAGTTTGTGAGTTCATTTGATGATAATCCAAGAATGGGGAATGAAGAAGCTAGAAATAGGAAAAACATAGAGAATGTTTTGGGAATTTGAGATGGACCCATTTTCATGATTTGAATATTGGAATAACCATGAGATATGAGATACTTTCTTGGAAGAATTTTTGAAGTATGGTGGGTAGATTTGTTTTTTTTTTTTGGTTGTTTCTAGAGGTAGTATTTATTAGGCTAAGAACAAAGAAGAAAGTGAAAAAAATGGTGATTGTTTTTTTTGTATGAAAGGGAAATTTCACATAGCTTTCCTTTTTAAGTATTTTGTATTGGCTAAATAGTTGGCAATACGTTTAATGCTAATGAATTATGACAGGTAACATCATTTTTTCATAAATGAGTGTTCAGATGTGTATCTCGATTATTTTATAAAATACGTACTTTTGTTATTAGTGTTATGTTTCGATTTACTTTGCCTAGCAGCACAAAGTTTGTATGGCTCTCCCAAAGCTTTAATAGTGCTTTCTAATTATTTTATTAAACTTGAAAGGTTGCTACCAATATTTAAGTTGTTTTGTCTAGCATCATGATGCTTGTATTGCTTTCTCATAATATTATTTTGATGAATTAGATTGTTCCCAGTTTTAGTGGTTGTTGATATGAAGATTGTTTCTATTCTCAACAATATCTATGTTACAATAGATAGTTTTCTTATTCGACAAAATTAAAAGAAATTTTGGGATTGTTGATCACGATATGTAAAATCATTTTTAATGGGGTGATTAAACTTAAATGAAATCAATGTTATGATAGACAACTATTAAACTAATGCCAATTTTTAATTGGAGTGTTGTATAGTTTGTGGTAGTGCCAGTTGGCAAATGATGAGATTGTAGTACTGCCTAGGTAGGTGGACAGTGTCTGCTAATGAGCAGTGAGGGGGGAAAATGTGTTTGAAACTCTCCTGTATGCCTTCTGTTATATACTTTTGGTTGTATTATAAAAAAATAGTGATTTTATTATATTCCAAAATAAATAAAAATAATTTTTATATACAATTCTCAAAACTTGATTGACCATCTAAAGAATTCACTCTCAATATGTGCATTTCTTTTTTAATTTAGGCTTAATACATTGATAGTCTTTTGAACTTATTAATAAACTAGTAAAATTATCCGCGCTTTGCGCGAAAATTTAATATCATGGAATTTATAAAATAATACTTAAAATTTACCGGTTATTAAAACTAAAACACTATATTATCTTACATAGAAGATTACATAGTAACAAACATTAATAATATAAAGGAAAATGAAAATTATTACATCGTATCATTTATCCTTAATAACATAAGCATAAATTAATGACTGTAAAAATACATATTAGGATCTGTAACATAAACAATGTTGTCAGTGAGTCACTCAACAGGAGCAAAGTACACAAATATTTAATTGTGAAGAAGAAGAAGAAGAGGAGGTTCAGAATTTTCGTTGTTTTAAAATGAGAGGAAATCCCTTTATTTATTGACAATAAAGGGTAGTGTGAACAAATGTTTTTTATGCCTTATCGGAAAGGTTACAACTATTTGGAAAAGTTGCAACCCTTTGGAAAGGTCACAACTTTTCATAAAAGGCGCAATTTTACATAAAAGTCGCAACTCTTCATTAAAGTCGCAACTTTTCATTAAAGTCACAACTTTTCATGAAAGAGGTAGACTAGTTTTGGAAATAAATAAATTAAAAGGGAATTGAACATGATGCTTGTATTGCTTTATATATATATACTTATACATATGCTTATATATATATGCTTTTATATATATATATATATAAAAGATATGATATGATTTATCTAGACACTCAATCTACGATTTCAATTGAGCACCTGAAAATATGTTTAATCCCCCCACTCCGCCCCCCCCACCCACCCCCCACCCTCTCCCTCCTCTCCCTTCACATATGTCCTCAAATGCTTTTTATATAAATAAATAAACAACTTTAATTATTTAATGTTTAGGCAATATTTTGGTCATTCAGATTCGAACGTCTCAATGTTAAAGAAGAATAAATGAGGCCTAAGTATGTTAAAAATGACAAAATGCGAAACCAATAGTTTTGCTATTTCATATTCACATTATAAAAAAATTACCACGAAAAAAATATTCTCTAACTTCTAATTAAAGATGAAAGAACCTTATATTTTGATCATACCCTTCAATAATATGATATTTTCTTTATCCCCATTTATGTGGTAGCTTTTTCTTTTTAGTTTGTCTTAAAAAGAATGTTATCTTTCATTAATTAAAAACAACTTAACTTTAAAATCTCTCTATCTTCCCCAATGTCTAAAATTTATTTTAAATCACACTATTTTTTTTTTTTGTGAACGTGTCACATAAATTGAACTAATTCTTTCAGGTCCATTTGAAAAGGCCCAAATCCTTCCTAGCAGGCCCAAATTTATAATGCTCTTTCAGCCTCATTCTCCCCAATGCTCCTCCTCCTCTGCGACTGAAATTGTTCTTCTCAAGTTCTCTCTCACACTGCACAAAATTCATCTCTTTTTTCTCAAATTCTCAAAAGGAATCGATTTGTACGTTTCTCTTTTTTTTTTTCTCGCGCGGTTAATCTCACCATTCTTCTTTTCATTTCTTCTTTTCTATCTTTCTCTGATTTGACAAAAATCCCTTCATTTTTTGCAATGATTTTTATACGGTAGGTAAAACACTAATTTTCGTGTACTGAAATACAATGCCGTGCTTGATACCCACTTTATGTAAGAGAATTTCAACTTTGATATCATGTTTTTTTGTTTATATAAATTTTACGAGTTAACATTTGGTTTTGAAAATGGCTCGCTCGTAGTTATGGTGTACTAATTTGGGTGTTGCAGTAGAACTCAAAATTTTCTTTTGAAAATGTAGATGATTAGTTACAAAATCTCCATGGGTCATGGGTCCAGGTGGACCCGTTGCCGTGATTAGTTGCATGGCACCTGAAGTTTTAAGTAATTAGGAATGTTAGTTTGTTAAATTTATTTCTCAAGTTTATTGATTTTCATGTGTTAAATGTTTTTTAAGCAATCTTAAATGCTTTGAATTTATTATATGTTTTTGATTCAGTGACAAGCACTTAAGTATCATTGTTCTTGGTTGATATGACAAATTTAGGACCCTGAAGGTAAGAACATTTACTGTTTGCTGCGGTTCATCTGTATGACTGAGTTGTTGCAGTTCTTCCTTAAATCTTCATCTTTTTGTCCTTTGATAGTTTTACACACTCCCAACCCCCCAAAAAAAAAAACATTTTCAGGAGAAAAACGTTGAGTCTTTAAACAAGTGTGCCTTCACATATTGGTCTAGTTTTATCATTTGAATAAAGAAAGAAAGAAACAAGCTGGTCATGTGATATGCCTTTGACGGATTAAAAGAAGAAATAAAAAATCATGCGTATTGCTAGAAAATTTCATAGAGTTATTTGTGTCAATCTTGCAAAATCTAATAATTGGTTGCTGGTGGTGCAGTATATTTACAAAGTTCTGTGTAAGGCTTGGTTGAAGTGTGCCGAAGCCCTGAAGTTAAGTACAACACGAAGTGGAGGACGCATTGTTTAGCTGGCGCCTTAGAATGCCAAGCGTTAAGGTGTGTGTTTCAGTGCAATGATCAAATCTCCATGACGTTTTGTTACTTGGTCCAACGTTATGCAGAAAAGGTTTTGTTTTGTTAGTGTTTCTTGCTCATGGAATCTGTCTTGATGAGATAATAAATGTAGCTGGCAAAGTGCCAAATTTATTATTTTGGAGACGTTATGGGTGAATATTTTAGTGATTAGGAATAGGAAATTAGACATCTACTTTAAGAAAGTTAGTCACTTACCTAAATGAAAATTTTAAAGATGCATATTGCATTTGAATAAGGAATACAGTATGCCTTTTGGACTTGATTGTCATTGTTTTTACTGCATATATTTCACTTATAATACAGTTTATTAATGTCTTGGTTCATATAATTTCTGACACTTCCGAGTTGTACCGTTTCTACAGTTCTCACATATGATAACACTCTGTTTGAATATAGTCTGGTGGTTCTAGACATGACCCACTAGAATCAGAGATAGCCCGGGTTCAACTTCAGTGCGAAGCAATAACTCTAATTTAGTTGTGGCTCAATTTTATTCCATCATAAGTTTTCCTTGATGGTCTCACATTCAATTCAAGAAACACCTTTTGCCATTTCCAAGTGAGATTGAACATTGATTTCGATTTCCAGTTATTTTGATGTGGACCAGGGGAAGAAATACAGAAGTAACGGACAATTAACTTTCCGCTGTTAAAAAAATAATGCTATTTTGTACCTGGGCGAGGAGAACATGAAATAGGCTTGGAAAACTCATACTTTGCTCATCTTCTTCATTCTTTAGGGTGGTCCTTACATCACTCAGATAGGTCAAATATCCTCATTCTTATCGTACGAAATCAATAATCTTCAGTAGCAAAGGTTGATGGCACACAGTAGAGACAGGTTTTCTTTCTTTCAATTGGTTGCAACTAAGGGTTCTCAATCACCACATCAGTTGCAATGATTTGCACCTTTCTTTGGTTTTATCTTTTGTTATCATCTATTGTTTCACAATAACACACTTTGAATTGTTCATTTTGTGCAGTTCGATGAACAAGTCACATATTGCATTCCATAATCTAAGATTCTAAGTTTGGGATATAAAAACAATTTGTTCTAGATGTTCTCTTTGGATAAACAATGTTTCTTTTTTGGCAAAGCTTCTGCTATGCCCACTGTGATTCTCCCAAGTGATATATCAGCAAAATAAATATTCAGATGTTAAAGCTTATGAGGTTAATAATAGAATTCTAGGATTTTCCTCTTTTATTTATTCTGAGATGGGAGGGTGGTCTTTTGTTGGTTGACAGACTGGTTGATGCTACAATCAGAAAGTGTGTATTCCTTCTTTCCATTTTAACCTAATTGCAGCATTGAGGACTCAATGAACAGGTGTTTATTTCCCTTCCCGTGCTGTATGTATTACCTCCACTTTTATATCCCAGTCTCTGAGTCATGTTTCCTTGCGGACCTTTCAAAATAATACTCATTGTTGAGTCATAAACGTAAAACAAGAGAGTTTGGGTCTATGTAATTCAAATTCTACTATAATGACAAAGATAAACAAAAAATTGAAACACTATAAAGTAAATTAAGTCTGAGCAGTTATCCTCATCTTTCTGTTTGTACAACAGCCTAGATTATACTTTGAGTTTGAATGCCTTTGTTAGAATTGTTAATTTTCTGCTCACGTGTAGTCTGGTGATGTAGGTTCACTGATCGGTTTGGCAGTTGCTATTAAATCCACACACACAAAAAAAAACAATGCCGAGCAATCCAAAAGTTGCGAAAGCATTTCGTGCTATGAAAAATATTGGAATCTCCCAAGAAAAGGTGAAGCCAGTCTTAAAGAACCTTCTTAAATTGTACGACAAGAACTGGGAGCTTATTGAAGAAGAGAATTACAGAGCACTTGCAGATGCTATATTCGAGAAAGAGGAGGCAGAAGTTCAATCTATCCTCTTTTTTTTTATTCCTTTTCTAGACAAAGCAGTTTTATTTACTTGATACGAATTGAATTTTTTGTTGTTCGCTTCATTTTTGCAGCAAACAGAAAGTAAGAAGCCTGAGAATACTGAAGTACAAGTTCTATTTTGGTTCCCTGTGTTTTATATATGTATTCTATGTCGATGCTTATTGGTGTTTTTTCTCATTTCCCTTTACCTTATCTTGGTACCTTGTCATGTTTCTAGCAAGAGGAGGTTTTGGAGGAAGAAGCAGCGGATGAGGAGCCTGAAAGACCCTTAAAGAGATTGCGATCAAGACACCAAGAAGTTCATTCTAGTTCTATTTCAGCTGGGACTTCATTCAAGAAAGTGGAGGAGCAAGCTGAACTACCTGGAACTAATCCTCAGGGTTGCTCACAAGGCCCTCAGCTGAATAATAGAAATGCAGCAGCTGAGTCCCAGTCTGTCCCATGTCTGACATATGTTAGAAACAAAGGAAAACAACCTGTCTCACCTAATAGTGCTGACAGATTGGAAAATAATGCTAATTCTCGGAAGAATCGTCTCAAGGGGAAGGAAACTCAACCACCTCAAATCATATCCAAGGAGAAAGGTTTAGTCCTTGGGAAAGCTTCTCATGCTTCAATCCTCAAAAAGCCGAAGACTGAACCTGACATTGAAATGTTGGGTACTCATGATATCATCAAGCCTAAGGATGAACCATATACTGTTGCTATGCCACAGTTTGAGGTTCCTCTTGCTGTTATTCACCCTGGTATGTATTATCTGAAATAGAGGGGTATGGTCCTTATCATATCATAGTTTCTTCATACTAGTTAAATTTTCCGCAGCAAGTAGAGCTAGTGATTTTTCTCCGTTGAGGGGCTAGGATCAATACATGACATCTCTAGAATGGTTTAGTAATTTATGTTCTGGAATGGTGCCATTGTATTTGGCAAGTTGTCACTGTATCAGCTAATGTTTCAGCTCTGGAAGACCGCGCAGCTCTATTTAGGATAACTATCTGTTCCAAATTGTTTGGCACCATTTTTTTTATAATCAGTCTAAAAATTTGGACACCTTTCTATATTCTAAAAGTCCTAATACTTTTTTTTTGAAACTTGGTAACTTTGTATTATAACACAATAGTACATGGGCAGTACTAAACCTTATATACAGATGAACTCCAAAAACTCCACTATTCTAAATCTAAATTGAATCTAAAACATCAATTATAGAGACAGTGTCATTTGAGTATAATTGATTGCACCAAAAACATAACAACAAAATGCAGTTGAGTTTAACTTTCTGCATACTATTCTCTACGCTCTCAAATCTAAAAGTCCTAATACTTACCTTCCTACTTTGCTCTTAATGCTCGTAGCTACTTGGGTACTTTTGTACTTCATACATATTAAGCTTTTGTGTCAAAGGTCCTATATTTCTTAAACTCCATTCAGTCAAATTGTACCAAACAAATTGAAACAGAGGGATATAGCCTTATATTTGTCTGAAGTGGATGTCTCTAGGGATGTTTCCTAGTAACATCTTAGCTACAGTTCCCCTTTCTAAAGGTCATTGTTTGGATTTTGTAGAGCCATCAAATGACAAAGGTTCTTCAAATGGTAATGCCTCAAGAAAGCAGCCAGACACTTCTGAAACCTCAGCAGCAAAACTGAGAGGCGGAAGAAAAGCAGATAAGGACATTCCAACTTCTTCAAATGGACTGGTAACAAGTCATGAACTAGTAAAACCTCAGAATGTGTGTTATTCGAACATAGATATTGCCTCCTCAACTTTTGGAGAGGTTAAAGTCTCTATAAATTGTGACGCGGCTCTTGGTAGATCAGACTTCCATTTGCCTAGTCTAGAGGCTGTTGTGAAGTTGGTGGAGGATAAATGTCTAAAACCATTCAAAGCCCTGGACCCTAACTTTTCTATGCCGAAGCTGATGAAAGACATGTGTGAGTGCTTTTTGGAACTGGGAACTCAGTACAATCATGAATTGCAAGAGACTGCAAAGGTGGATGCAGAAAATGATATTGGTTATAGAAGCATGGCCCCAGTTTCTCCAAATGGATCTATAAATTTAGAACTTGATTCTGGGGAGGATCAACCAGAGAAATCACAGCTACCTCTTCCTTGTAATGGTCACACCAATAATACCCAAACTGATCAAACAACATCAGCAGGGAATTGTGGTAGTGTTCCAGAGATTGATCAGAATATTCTTGAACATCTTATGTCTGAGAGTCCAGTGGCTCTGTGCGGATCTAAAAATTTAGAACTTGATGCAGGGGAGGCTCAACCCGAGAAACCACAGCTCCCTCCTTGTAATAGTCACAACAACAGTGCCTCAACTGATCAAATAGCATCTGTGGAGAACTGTGGTAGTGCTCCAGAGATTGATCAGAATATTCTTGAACATGTTACTTCTCAAAGTCCAGGACCTCTGTGTGAATCAACTCAAGATGAAACAGGTTCGTGTGTTGTTACAGATATAACCAGGGGGCAAGAGGAGGTTATGATTTCATTGGTGAATGAAGTTAATGAAAAAATTCCTCCATCCTTTAACTACATAGCTCATAATGTGGTTTTCCAGAATGCATATCTGAACTTCTCTCTGGCTCGTATTGGAGATGACAACAGTTGTTCAACTTGCTCCGGTGATTGTTTGTCACTGTCCACACCTTGTGCATGCGCATATGAAACTGGTGGTGATTTTGCATATACAAAAGAAGGTCTTGTTAAAGAGGAGCTTCTTAAAGAGAGTATTTCTATGAATCGTGATCCCAAGAAACACTGCCAATTCTTTTGCAAAGAATGCCCATTGGAAAGATCGAAAAATGAGGATATTATCGAACCTTGTAAAGGTCATCTAGTGAGGAACTTCATCAAAGAGTGTTGGTGGAAATGTCGCTGTGATAAACAGTGTGGGAACCGTGTGGTACAGCGAGGTATTAGCCGGAAGTTACAGGTAAGAATTTGTCATTGCGGTTGCAATGGCCTTTGGTAATGTGGCTGATGCAGTAGTAACTCTTGCATTACTTTTGAGGCTCACTTTTACTTTATTTGCTTTCTTTTTGAGCTTCTTAGGAATCACTTTCTTTTCTTAGCGTTTACTTCTAAAATAATTCTTGGTATCTAGTATTAACTTCATCTAGCTTTTTTGTTGGTTTTACTTATTTCAGGTGTTTATGACTCCTGATGGGAAAGGGTGGGGATTGCGTACCCTTGAGGATCTTCCAAGAGGTGCTTTTATTTGCGAGTATGTTGGGGAAGTTCTTACCAACGCGGAACTCTTTGATCGCGTTTCACAGAGCCCCAATAGAGAGGAACATTCTTATCCCGTGCTGCTTGATGCTGACTGGGGTTCAGAGGGTGTCTTAAAGGATGAAGATGCGCTTTGTTTGGATGCAACATTTTTTGGGAATGTAGCCAGGTTTATCAATCACAGGTATGTCTACTTAGTAGGGTCTCATGTTTTAACTGTCTTTTTGCTGATTTTCTCCCCCAACCTCTTCTTCCTTTTGGGTGTCAGTTTTGCACCAATTTGTATTTATTTACTTGTATTCTTAGGAGCTATAATACTTTGACTAGTGGTTCAGCTTTCAGGTGGTACATACTTAAATTACTCTGAATCTTTTATGCATTTTAACTTCTCAACTCCTATGAAGAGCTTTTTTCTTTTCTTGGTTATTTGATGATTCATATAGCAAGTGGGGCAAAACCACTACTTGAATATCTCGTGTTCAGTAGGCATAAAACATTCACATCATTTGTGATAAATTCTACTTGTATTTTCTTTTTCATATTCCTGCATCTAGTCACCTTTAGCTACTTTGTTTCTAAAGCACTCCTTACATATTTGTGTGACGAGAAATTTGCATGATATTACAATGTCAGGATCCACTTTGTTTCAATTCCCTTGTTGTAAAGTAAAAAAAGAAATTGAGGGAGAAGTGAAAGAAAAGAATAGCCAAAAGAAAGCTATGCATTATATATTAGATATTTGCATCACGTGTAAATATGTTATTAACCTGTGTCAGTTTAATTTATTTTATTGTTATTCTGGTCCAGATGTTTTGATTCAAATATGGTTGAAATACCAGTTGAAATAGAGACTCCAGATCACCACTACTATCATGTAAGGAACATTGTGCTTCTGAATCTTCACTTCACTTTGTCCTCAATATTCAGTATTCCTACTTCCTAGCTCTTTATTCTAACGTTTGTTTGGGATATCTCATGTGTTTCTTCATGCAGCTTGCTTTTTTCACTACAAGAAAGGTTAAAGCATTGGAAGAGCTCACTTGGGTGAGTAGGCTTGATCTGGTTCACACATGCTCATTGTATTGTGGTGCCCTCTATTTTTTGCTTTAAAGATATTTGTCTATTCACTACTATCTATATATCAATTCTCTCTCTTTATACACGCACACATATACAAAGAGAGAGAGAGAGATGCATAGAAGTTCAATTTGTATCTGGACATGGTTGTTTCTGGAGAATTAATGCTGCTAATTTCACAAAAATAAAAATGCAATCTCGTGCAAGTTCAATGGATTTCAGCTACATTCTTATGTTGCCCTCATGGGCTGGATTTGAGTGATGAGGTTCTCCATTGTGGGCAGCTTACGTACCTAAATAACAAGTTGTCGGGAAGAACTTGCCATGGTTTGTATCAGAAATAACAAAATGACTTAGCCAGAACTATGCCTCCCCCCCACCCCCACCCAACCCCGAAAGTGAAGAATGAAAATCCATATTTTCTTATTAAGAAATATGGATGCTTCTCAACTCCAAGTACTTGTAGTCTAAATAATGTGATTTATCCATATGGTGCATCTTGATATAAATAAAATCACCAAAGAATATAGAAAACAAGGGATATCTGTCAGTTAGGTATTTGGAAATTATTAGATTAGTTGTAAAGGATCTTCCTTCTTAACTTTGAAAAATACAGTTTCGTCCATTAGTAGTACTACAACAAGTACACCTCAATCCCAAACTAATTGGGGTTTGCTATATGAATCTTCTATATTCGTTCTGCTCTATTTGGACCTTTTATTCTGATATACCTTCATTACTAAACTGTTAATTTGAGTGTTGGGGCTGAAAGTTGATTATTTGAATTAGTTTCTCGGATATTGTCTTTCTGTTTTATATCTTTTTTATTTTAAGAAAGTCCTTAATTACTCAACTCTTAAACAAGCCAACTAATATGAAAGATGGTCAATCGTAATGCTCCTAGAGAAAAAAATAAGCACTTTTTTATCAACATGTTCAATGGATCATACCAATTCAATGAAGTTCAACAGAGAGAAGATGGTAGTCAAGAGGTTGACTCTGTCAAACTCTGCTGATGTGACATGAAAGATGAACAAGTAATGGTGTCTCAACATTTATAACATATCTAGTTTTTAGAAGGATGATTATGCCTTCATTCCACGAAGCTTCTTTTAGATATTTGACAGTATATTTTTTGGACAAACATTGTATTGGTTCTTGCAGGATTATGGTATTGATTTCGATGACCACGAACATCCAGTGAAAGCATTTAAATGCCAGTGTGGTAGCAAGTCCTGCCGAAATATGAAACGTCCAAGAAGTAAGTGTTATTCCAGAGCATAAGGTTATATTGTTGTTGTAACAGTTAGGATTTGTAAATCAAAGTTTCCATCTTGCTTTGCTAGTAAAAGTTGTTAGCTGCTGCATGGATTTGAACATAACTTGGCTGAATTTTCAAAAAAAATATATGCTATTATATACTCCAATTATTGTTCTCGAATATAACAAGAAAAAGAACTTTTAGCATTGAAGATTTTCAAATAGGATATTGGTAGTCTTTGCTGGAATTGGTGTAATGACATGTCCAAAGCATGACTGATCATTTAATTCTGACACCATATTTATTTGGCATCTTCATAATTGACTATAACTCAACCAAAAGGTATGATGTTTGATGAAAAAAGTCTGTATAATTTTAGGGAAAACTGTTTGTAAGATGGAACAATGACGACAATGTAGGGTGGATAGGTAATGTTTTGCATTTTACATATGATGAACCCTTTAGCACCCCCTGTAGTGTCCCCTGATTCTTCAATAAAGACTTTGCTTTTGTATCACACACTCTATTTATCTTCAATTAGGCACCCAAGGATGCTGCTAATGGTCAATGAAGTGGGTGTAAACTTTGGAGATTAGGGTCCATTCTTGCAGAGACAAATCTTAAGTTATTTTTTCCCCGTTGTCTAAGCCTTGGTGGAGTTACCTGGTATCTAAACCAGTGGGAGATAGTTGGAATTGTTGAAGTGTGCACTAGCTTGCCTGGACATCATTGTTATCAAAAAATATTTATCTTCAATCAGCCTAAACTATTATTTTCAATATTCGACCAACTAAGTGGCCATGCATGATAATCATAGTCGAGTTTCATGCTGTTAATCACTCAAGTGTCATGCTATCCTGTAGGAACCAGAGCAAGGAGAGGATGGTAATTATTTCCAAACAACTTGTGGCTGATTTCTGGCCTTGGGTGATCAAGAAAGGTGCTATGACTGGAAGTTTGAAGACTCTGATTATCTAGAATTTTTGTAGGGTTCTGGTGAACTTGTGTACACTGCAGAAGGGCCCACATAGTTGTATTTGCAGATCCTATGGCGAATATAAGCTTTAGATTTGTTCCCTTGTTGTATATAAGAATCTTTTGGTAACATTTGACTAGCTGCTGGAGGAATTGGCTTATGTTCCCCCCCGCATGGATACCATAGCATAATGTGGTCTAGACCATGCATTTAGCTTGAAGACTCGGTTCTTAGTTTTTTGCCCTCTCATTCTTATGCCTACATTATTGCAGCTTGTCTTGTTCTTTCCATTTTGAACTACTATTTCTGCATCTCCCCAATCAAATCCACCTACATTAGGGTTACTCGTTGGTGGTCGATCAAATATGATAGATTCAACCTTGGAAACAAGTTTTGGTCCTGGAGTCACTTTGTCCGTGTTATTTGTCTTTATATATTGAAATTAATCATGTTACATTTTCATTCTGCTCTCCAACAAAACTTCCATACAAAATGGCAACACAAGAACTTCGCTGGGGTTCATCATCCAAAGAAAAGGGCAACTTACCTTTATGCAAAGAAAATCAACCTGATTCTTGAATTATCAACACTTCTGCTACTGGAAAACAAAATACCCCTTTCGTAGAAAAGACATGTATCAACAATTTTGATTTCACGAATGAACAATTCCTCAGTATCTTATTCAGTTTGTACATAACATTTTCTTGTGCATCAATAGAAAAGAATTGTATCCATATTTTCGTAGGATTGCCGATTGATATAGGAGTTACATGCCTCCAAGGCATGTAGTATGTTGACAACAAGTACACTCAACTCTATACATACAATTGTACATTCAAATAAGTATATACACAACACAAAAAGACAACAAAAAGTTGTGGACTAGACGATGCCAGAATGTGTAATGTCCTTGCATTTGAATTCAAGAAACAGAGTGTTGCACAACTTTTGTCTCCAATGACAAGGAGTCTCTATTATGAGGTTTAGAGAGCACTTCATCCTCACAACCACTAGGCATAATGGGATTAATTCCGCCTGGATTCAATGGGAACAGAATCTTGTAGTAACCTTCCATTATTTGCCCCATATTGCAAGTTTCTGCAACCTTTGGTATCTGTTCAACAGTAAAACACTTTCTTAAGCATACATGTGACTTGTCATTGTTAGTTCAAATGATCAAATACTATCTTTTTGATAAATAGTTTTATTGCAAAACAATGACAATGTTTGGAGCAGTTTGCGAGCAACAATTTCAACGGATACCTACTATTACTCTCCAGCATAGGTACTGAGACTGAATAACTTTGCATACAAGGGATTAAGCCACTTTGGTTTATCTAAAGTTTGCTTAAGCCAAATAGTTCAAGGGATTAAGACTTCAGTAGCAAAAATATCACCAAACCATCCAACTGTTTTTTTTTTTTTTTTTTTTGAGAATGGTAAAGTTGTATTCATCAGCAATGAGGGTATGCTGGCAACCAAACAAAAAAAAATTCCAAGGCGAAGTAGTCATGATTACAAATAGCCTAGGAAATCTACTAACTGATTTACATCATCTATACCCTCTTCTTTACACCAAAAATATAGAGTATTAATGCAGTTTTCTTTAACTTTCTGCATTGGGTTAGTAATATTCTTAAAGCACCTATTGTTTCTTTCCTTCCAAATTGACCACCATATGCAAGATGGAACTAGATTCCACCATTTTTTCTGTGTTTTACTTCCCCCTCTTCTCATCCAACAGTTTAATAGGTCAGCAGTATGCTCAGGCACCACCCAAGGATCTTGAATAATGCTTTGAAACAGATACCATATCTGGGCAGTCACTCTACAGTGAAGGAACAAATGATTGTTTGTTTCCTCCTTCTCATGGCAAAAGAAGCACCTAGAAACAATCTGAAATCCTCTTTTTTTCAGTCTCTCCTGAGTCAGACATGCTCTTCTGCACACTAACCATGTGAAACACTTTATCTTGGTTGGGGTGTTGGATTTCCAGATTTGTTTCCAAGGTCCAGCAATCTCCCCCGGCTGTGTTGCCAGGTCTCTTTTGTACATTCTTCCAACAGAAAATTCCCCATCCCTATCATGTTTCCATCTGATTGCATCAGGATTAGTGTTGAGTCCCGGAAAATCTTCCAACCTCTGCAGTAAATTGGCTACTCTATCCACCTCCCAGTCATTTAAGAGCCTCCTAAGGGTTATATTCCACCCTTGTTGAGACCACATCTCATCAATAGATGCTCCAGGGTTGTCACAAAAAGAGTACAAATCTGCAAAGTCCTCCATGAGGGAGTTCTGTCCTATCCACTTGTCTTTCCAAAAAAGGATCCTAGTCCCCTCACCCACCTTGTAGCATATGTTCCTCGCTAGTTTTGGCCACAAATTTCTGATAGACCTCCAAACTGAGACCCCATAGGTGCTGGTCACAGTGTTGGATGTCCATGAATCAGTTTGTCCATACTTGCTAACAATAACATCCTTCCACAGAGCTTGCCCCTCTTTACCAAACCTCCATAGCCATTTTAACAGTAAACACCTATTTTGCAGACCTAGATTCTTAATGCCAAGACCTCCTGATTTCTTGCTTAGTTGGGCAGTTCCAAACCATCCAACTGTTTACCACAAACATATGGTATTTATGTAGATTGTTAGAATAGAAATAAGTTTTCCTACTTAGAATAGAAATAAGAATAGGAATAGGAATAGGAATAAGAATAGGAATCCTAGTTGGAAAAGGATTCCAATGTAGTGTCTATAAATAGGGTCTCAATATAACTATTTAGATACACAATTCAATAATATTTTTCGTATATATTTCTCACATGGTATCAGAGCATTGGTGAGAACAAACAAGTCACCGTATGTCTATGTCAATTTCCGGTGACTGTTGGGTCTGATTTTGTTATACTTTTTTCTTTCTGTGGGTGTTGTGCGAAAACCAACACCACCACGAGGCTCGGAAAGCCCCCGCGACCAAACCCCAGCCAAAACCACCGGAAAACACCACCTCACGCGCTCTCACGCGCCTATCGGAGGTGGCAGTTTCCGGCTTGTGTGTCGCAATCTAGTACTCTTGGAACATGGGTCATGGACTCTGGGGCTTCTGATCATATCTCTGGTAATAAATCACTTTTATCCGATATTGTTTATTCACAATCTCTTCCAGCTATTACTTTAGCCAATGGGATCCAAACCAAACCAAAAGGGGTTGGAAAAGCCAAACCCCTATCTTCTGTCACCCTAGACTCTGTTCTTTATGTCCCTGGTTCTCCTTTTAATCTAGCATCTGTTAGTCGTTTGACGAAAGCCCTACATTGTAGCATAACTTTTTTCGATGATTTTTTTCTCATGCAGGACCGCAGTACGGGACAGATGATTGGAACAGGACATGAATCACAAGGCCTTTACTATCTTACCTCTTCAAATTCCTTAGCAGCATGCTCCATTACAGATTCCCCAGATTTAATTCACAAACGTTTGGGACATCCGAGTCTATCCAAACTGCAAAAGATGGTGCCTAGTTTATCTAGTTTATCCACATTAGATTGTGAGTCGTGTCAACTTGGGAAACACACTCGTGCTACGTTTTCTCGTAGTACTGAGGGTCGTTCAGAGTCTATTTTTTCATTAGTTCATTCTGATATTTGGGGTCCTAGTAGAGTCAGTTCCACCTTAGGATTTCGTTATTTTGTTAGTTTCATTGATGATTATTCAAAATGTACTTGGGTTTTCTTAATGAAAGATCGTTCTGAGTTATTTTCTATTTTCAAAAGTTTCTTTGCTGAAATACAAAATCAGTTTGGTGTTTCTATTCGTACTTTTCGTAGTGATAATGCCTTAGAATACTTATCCTCCCAATTTCGGGAGTTTATGACTCACCAAGGCATTATTCACCAGACTACTTGTCCATACACCCCTCAACAAAATGGTGTAGCTGAAAGAAAAAATCGGCATCTTATTGAGACCGCTCGTACTCTTCTCCTTGAATCCAATGTTCCATTGCGTTTTTGGGGAGATGCAGTTCTTACGTCTTGTTATTTGATAAATAGAATGCCCTCTTCTTCTATTCAGAATCAGGTTCCCCATTCCATACTGTTTCCTCAGTCACATCTCTATCCTATCCCTCCTCGTGTCTTTGGGAGCACATGCTTCGTTCATAACTTAGCCCCAGGAAAAGATAAATTAGCTCCTCGTGCCCTCAAATGTGTCTTTCTTGGTTACTCTCGAGTCCAAAAAGGGTATCGTTGTTATTCACATGATCTTCATCGATACCTTATGTCTGCTAATGTTACATTTTTTGAGTCTCAGCCTTACTATACATCTTCTGATCATCCTAATGTCTCTATGGTCTTACCCATACCTCAGGTTTTACCTGTGCCAACCTTTTGGAATCTACGGTTACTTCTACATCTCCAGTTGTAGTGCCACCACTACTAACTTATCATCGCCGTCCACGTCCAACCCTAGTCCCAGATGATTCATGTCATGCGCCAGACCCTGCTCCTACTGCGAACTTGCCTCCTCCTAGCCAACCGCTTGCACTTAAAAAAGGTATACGATCCACTCGAAATACTAACCCACATTATACCTTCTTAAGTTATCATCGTCTATCATCACCCCATTATGCATTTGTGTCGTCTTTGTCCTCTATTTCCATTCCTAAGACTACAGGTGAAACACTTTCTCATTCTGGATGGAGGCAGGCTATGGTTGATGAGATGTCTGCTTTACATAAGAGTGGTACTTGGGAGCTTGTCTCCCTTCCTGCAGGTAAATCTACTGTTGGTTGTCGTTGGGTTTATGCAGTCAAAATTGGTCCAGACGGTCAGGTTGATCGACTTAAGGCTCGCCTTGTTGCCAAAGGGTATACTCAGATATTTGGGCTAGATTATAGTGACACTTTCGCTCCTGTGGCTAAAATTGCATCTGTTCGTCTTTTTCTATCTATGGCTGCCGTTCGTCATTGGCCTCTTCATCAGTTGGACATTAAGAATGCTTTTCTGCATGGTGATCTTGAGGAAGAAGTCTATATGGAGCAACCACCTGGTTTTGTTGCTCAGGGGGAGTCTAGTAGCCTTGTATGTCGATTGCGCAGGTCACTCTATGGTCTAAAACAGTCTCCTCGAGCTTGGTTCGGGAAGTTCAGCACAGTAATTCAGGAGTTTGGCATGACTCGTAGTGGAGCTGATCACTCTGTGTTTTATCGGCATTCTGCACCAAGTCGATGTATCTATTTGGTTGTTTACGTTGATGATATTGTTATCACCGGTAATGATCAAGATGGTATCACCGATTTGAAGCAACATCTCTTTAAGCACTTCCAAACTAAAGACCTTGGCAGATTGAAGTATTTTCTAGGTATTGAGGTTGCTCAGTCTAGATCAGGTATTGTTATTTCTCAGCGCAAGTATGCCTTAAACATTCTTGAGGAGACAGGGATGATGGGATGTAGACCTGTTGACACTCCTATGGATCCGAATGTTAAACTTCTTCCAGGACAGGGGGAGCCACTTAGTAATCCTGAAAGGTATAGACGACTTGTTGGAAAGTTGAATTATCTCACAGTGACTAGACCTGACATCTCTTTTCCTGTGAGTGTTGTAAGTCAGTTTATGACTTCCCCTTGTGATAGTCATTGGGAAGCAGTTGTTCGTATTCTGCGATATATAAAGTCAGCTCCCGGTAAAGGACTACTCTTTGAGGATCAAGGCCATGAGCATATCATTGGATATACAGACGCTGATTGGGCAGGATCACCCTCTGACAGACGTTCGACATCCGGATATTGTGTTTTAGTAGGAGGTAATTTGGTGTCGTGGAAGAGCAAGAAACAGAATGTGGTTGCTCGATCTAGTGCAGAATCAGAATATCGAGCAATGGCGACAGCAACTTGTGAGCTAGTTTGGATCAAACAGTTGCTGGGAGAACTAAAATTTGGCAAAGTTGATAAGATGGAACTTGTGTGTGATAATCAAGCGGCTCTTCATATCGCATCAAATCCAGTGTTTCATGAAAGGACTAAGCACATTGAGATTGACTGTCACTTTGTCAGAGAAAAGATACTCTCGGGAGATATTGTTACGAAATTTGTGAAGTCAAATGATCAGCTTGCAGATATCTTCACCAAGTCCCTCACATGTCCTCGTATTAATTACATCTGTAACAAGCTAGGTACATATGATTTGTATGCACCAGCTTGAGGGGGAGTGTTAGAATAGAAATAAGTTTTCCTACTTAGAATAGAAATAAGAATAGGAATAGGAATAGGAATAAGAATAGGAATCCTAGTTGGAAAAGGATTCCAATGTAGTGTCTATAAATAGGGTCTCAATGTAACTATTTAGATACACAATTCAATAATATTTTTCGTATATATTTCTCACATAGATAAAATGTAAAATTTTACTATAAATGGAATACTCCAATTTGTTTAGTCTCTTTCTCTGTCCTATTCTGCTAGTTGATCGAGACACCGCGTTCAAATGGCCCTTTTTCCTATCGGACATATGCAAGAATGGAATTTAAGTACCTGATAAATGTCTCTGAGATATCCATGGAGGATGGTGAATTCAATGAGCTTCTTCTTGGTACATTTGAAGAGGACATTATAGACCACATCAAACCGAATCAAAGTAGTGAACAAACACACATCTGCAAGTGTCAAAACATCCCCACACAAATACCTTGATCCCCCCAAATGATCCTCCAACATTTCCAGTGTTCTAAACAACCCCTCTGCTGCTTTATCGTATGCTTCTTGACTTTGTGCAAATCCACACCTACCAGAACATAAGAAAGGCGCACAAATTACTTTTTGTTCTTCTGAACTTGTACATCAAATTGTGAGTAATAGCCCTGAGATTCCTAATATCGTGCTAAGAATAGATAGGATTTTTAGAAGTAAACGGCATTGCTTTGATAAGAAAAACTATACAGCACAACCGAGTATACTCAACACTCAATGTGAGTTCATTCAACCAATCTTGGTAGGCAAAGTCAGTCAGGTACTTGTACTGAGTAGAATATTACTCGATATAGATTAATCAAAGTGCATGTAAACTGACTAAAAACAACTTTTTATCTCTCTCTATGTCAAACCACATGACGTTCACTCGTCCTAGACTTCCCAAAATGTGATACCATTTCATTTTTACACCAATTCTATAGTTTGTAATAACACAAAATCATTAATTAACATTTAGTAGCTATTATGTTTACAATATTTTTTTACTGTCAAAATAAAATCTTAAAATCTATCCCTATTCGCACCATCACATAAAATGAAACGAAATGACTAACTACGAGGAAAAAAGAAGATCGAAGTATACTCCATTTTCCAAAACTACACACTAAAAACTTCTTATCCATTACATCTCTATTTTGGCCACTATCATTAACATAATATGTAAGCAAGTACATAGACACTATCGCAAAAATTGAAACGGATCAAGAAATTGGGAAAAATAGTCCAAGTATACTCCTTTCTACAGAATTACACACAAAACAAAAGGGAATTTACCTGTACACGCCATTGTTAACGTTTGGATAAATTATATCGTTCCATTTTCGAATGTCATCTTTCAATGCAGGTGGTGAAAGATCCAATTCAGGATTCCCTGCAATTTCATTCAAACCCGAATTGAAAATCTCAATAATATCATAACTCTCATTACAAAGCACTTCCTTCTTCTCCATGTCCCACAACATTGGAACAGTTGATCGACCACTATAACCAGCTCGTCTCAGCTTATAAACTTCTCTCAAGGTTTTACACCCATTAGCTTTATCCAAACTCGGAACAAGCTTATCCTTATCCGGGTCGGAAAAAAAAGGGAATTCCCAAGACCCATCAATACCCGGAGAAGCAATTGAAACGGGTACAGAATCTTCAAGACCCTTAAGAGCTCGAACAATAAGAGTTCTGTGTGCCCACGGACATGGAAGGCCCACATAAAGGTGGAGGTCTTTCGGGGAGACTTTCAATTTGGGATTGGAGTATAACCGAAATTGAGAAGTGGGTCGGGTATAGGATCCGGTTGGGTCTGATGGAGCGAGTTGGGACATCATGAGCTGCCACGCCGCGGACCAGGTTGAACGGACGGTGGAGATGAGGAGTTGTGGGGGGAGTGATGGACCCCATAGAAGCTTAGTGATGGTGTTTATGAGGTTAGTGTTTGAGTTTTGGTTAAGTGACATTCTTGGAGTTGAGCTGCATAGCTTAGTATGAAGAATTTTAGGATATTTGAGTTTGTGAGTTTTTGATTTCGATGGAGGAAATGGAATGGAGATAAAGGAGGAGACATGAGTAGAATACATTTTTTTTGTTTTTGTATTAGCAGAAAGTTTTAGGAAATTCGGAGGGGGTGAAGACTGAAGACTGAAGAGGAGTATTGGGCTGGGCTGACTATGTTGCATTACCTCAAAACATACTCATGAATTTTCAATTTTTATAAGGGAAAATTACGGGTATAAGCAAACATATATTAGTTAATTACTTAATATAGCTATAGTTTGTTTTAATTATAATTCGTGATCAACTTTTAGCTATAATTACGTGGTTCAACTTTTTACTTTTGTATAATTCGAAATTTGTATAACTTTTTGTATAATTTAGAATTTGTATAATATAATTTGTATAACTATTTACACTTCTGATGTTTGTAACTGTATAAATTTATTATTTTGAGTTTATACAAAAATAACTGAATTATACAAATGTACTCGCGGATAATACAAACCTGCGAGTCATATAAATCCGCAAATTATACAAACACTATTTGCGAAAGTTCCTCTTTTTATAAATTAAAATTTCAAAACATTTACTCTGGAGCTAAAAAAAAGAAAAAAGAAGAAGATGTTAATGTCACAAACAATAGTGTAGCATAAATAACTTACACAGTTATAGTAAACATCTTACAAAAGTAACAACTTAAAGTACTACTCTATGGATCATTTACACGTTAAAAATTAGCGTTTAATATAGTGTAAACGATATATATGGTTATAGTGATACAATTTACTTCATAATAGTATATTATTGTCAATATTATATATTGATCAATACATTTTTCTTTTGTTTATGTAATATAAAATAATAGTAAATGGCATGTAAATTTTCACTTTATTCAAAGTAATTAAGATTTCATTTTTATCAGTTTTATAAGTAATTGTTTTCTAATCATGGATAGTAAATAGTCGAAGAAAGAAAAATCAAAATGTTCTTACATTGGGCCAAACGGGCCTGAATTTCAATAAACTAGTGGGCCTAACAAGCTTGAGACTGCAATGGACCAGAGCCCAGTAAGTTAAGCTGCATATAAAACCCTAACGCATTCGGCTGCCATTCCTCTCATTATTAGGGTTTTGGAGGTAGAGAGTGAGCAGCTGAGCAAGACCGGCGACAATGTCGAAGAGAGGTATCGCAACGATCGTTTTACTATTATAGCTTCACTTAGTCTTAATTTACTTATCTAATTTTATGATTCGATTTCTGAAAATGTATATTAAGGTCGCGGAGGTTCCGCGGGGAACAAGTTCAGGATGTCGCTGGGTTTACCCGTGGCAGCCACCGTCAATTGTGCTGATAACACCGGAGCAAAGAACTTGTACATCATTTCGGTGAAGGGTATCAAGGGAAGGCTTAACAGGTTGCCATCAGCCTGTGTGGGTGACATGGTCATGGCTACCGTGAAGAAGGGTAAGCCCGATCTCAGGAAGAAGGTCATGCCTGCCGTCATTGTTCGTCAGCGCAAGCCATGGCGCCGAAAGGACGGTGTCTTCATGTACTTTGAAGGTATATTTGCAAATCATTGATTGATTTTTGTTGTATCACTAGAATTTGTATTCTGTTACCTAGTTATGCATCTTTCAATTAAAAAAGACAAATTATAGTTGCTCTTTTTAAATGATACTCTACTATGGTGTTTTTTGCTATGCGTTTTTGTTGAGAATATTTACCTTGATAATCATGTTTTAGAGATCATTTTAGAGTGTTGAGATAAGCATTAAGCTATTTTACTCATGTGTATCATACAAGGAGAAGGATTCTTTAGGAGCATAGTGTTTTGTAATGTATTTCCGAGTGTTGAACCATCAGAACGTCTTGGTGGTATTTGAAGCAAATGATGTATAGTAAGAGTTTGTACATTTGCTAGGAAATAACTTCTGCCCATTGTGAGTAAATCATTGATTACTTTTTGCTGGAAAATATACTCTATAGACAGATCATTAACAAATGAAAAACAGAGTCTTGAGTATGACTTATGAACCTTTAGGGCTTGTTTGGTAGGATGTATTATAGAATCTAATACATGTTCTAGACACGGTATTATTCAATCCTTTGGTAGGATTTTGAGCCTATGTATAACTAATACCTATTCAGTTTTATAGGGTGTATAACTATTACATAAAACCCATGGATTTAGCAAAACCTGGGTAAAGATTAAACTGTCCATGGTACGTCAAACCAAACAGCAGATAGGAAGTAGTTGCATCATAACTAATCTCATCATCCCAGCATTACTAGTACACCTTATTCAATTCTATTCTTCTACACTCTACCGAATGGCCCCATGATGGATTAATACTTTTTGGCTCTCGTGTATTATACTGTGCTGAGCTACTTGTAATTGTTGAAGAAACTCCTGTTTTTGAGGTTCTTTAGCGAAGTCACGTTAGGAATATGTAGGAGTATCTTACAACATACATCAAAAAAAATAAAAACTTGTTATCTGATCCTTTGATTTTTGTTCTTATACAGATAATGCTGGTGTAATTGTGAACCCCAAGGGAGAAATGAAAGGTAACATATATTTACTTACCTTCCTAGACCAGATTACCTTGAATAACTTTCTTTTTGTTTAGTCACTAGCTTTACTTGAATGCCTTTAGCTATTTCTATTTATGTGCTTGAGCCATTTGTCTCTCACTCCACAAGTCCTTTGGTTATCTTTACATAGTTTGCTAGTTGATGGGGTTCGGGGTGGTAAGTTATGTATGTCAATTAGTTTCTACTAGAAACAGATTTAGCAAGCTGTTGATGTTTATGCTTATCGTGTGCTCTATTTGTCTTGTAGGATCTGCAATCACAGGGCCAATTGGGAAAGAGTGTGCTGATCTTTGGCCAAGGATTGCAAGTGCTGCCAATGCTATCGTGTAGAAGAGTTCCCTTGAGTAGTTTGAAGTTCTTGTTTTTGACAGTTAAATTTATGTTTTTGGATACCAGATTGTTTTCTTATTAAGAAATTAGTTTTACCGGTGTGAGAATTTTATATCTAGAATACATATCTATCGCACGTTTCTTCTATATTGTGATTTTGCCTTTCCAGACAAATGCTATAATCCTTTTTTAATCTTAAATTTTGGACTTATATAAAATCCTATTCAGCCTGAGCTAATAAACTTAGTTTTCATTGTAATACATGTATTTAAGCATTCCATTGTTCAAAATGTTACCTCAGGTAGTTAGTTTGATTGGTGTACTAAATTCACTATGCATTTTTTCATTTTTTTCTTTTTGGTTAGAGAGAATGAGAGTATATGACAAATTCTGAGAGCAAGGTAATCGTCCCACAAGTATTTTTTTATTCCTCGTCTGATCTTTGGCTAATTAATCTGGATCTGCATTGAAAGTAAAGATAAGTTGAGATCATTCGAGTATCATCTTATTGCAGTTAATTAGGCAATAAGTTCAAAAATTGATTTGACTAATTATTTTTTTTGAATAAGGGACACAAATATGAACTTTACTCTACTTGTTCTCCTTGAAGATATTGTTTCTTCGTTGCAATATATGTTTCGCATATTTGCTTACCGAATGTAGTTTAACTACTCTTCGGAGAAATTAAACTAAAATGATGTTTTAAAGAGAGAAGTATATATTCAGAAACTAAAAATTATTATCCATTCATTTTTGTAAGCCTCTCAATTCATAAAAAGAACCACTAATACAAGAACATTCAATGTATTTTATTATTAACGCATTTGAAGTCTTTTAAATACAGCCTCTCAATTCATAAAAAGAACCACTAATACAAGAACATTAAATGTATTTTATTATTAGCGCTTTTGAAGTCTTTTAAATACAATCTCATAAGAAGATAGGCGTAACCTTTGAGTATGCGTACATATATTTCTTTATTTGTTTTGTATGTTAAAAAATCATATATTTATAATACTGTACCAATGTTTTAATGTAAATTCCATTTATTTCGGAGAATACACTATAACAGGGATAGAAAAGGGGAAAATACAAGTTGGTCAGAAAAAGTAAGCTAAGACTTTTATTTTATTTTTTGGTTTCAGACTTTTATTAGGGTTTCAATTTTATTATATTTCGATCGCAGTAGAGAGGATCTGACAGAAAATGGTGAGAGGAATGCTGCGTAAACTTGCCAATCAGTCTCTTTCAGTCGCCGGAAAATGGCAGCAGCAACAGCTCCGCCGCCTCAACATCCACGAGTATCAGGTCGCCCCTCCCCTCCTATATCAGTGAAATGAGATGTTTCTGAATCTGTAAATCAAATCGCGTCAATGTTAAACTAGTTGATCCTGCTTAGTTTGTGCACATCTCATTCTAATTCGCAATAGTTTTGATCTTCTGTTACAGTTTTTGGATTCGAGATACTGTAGGATAAAAGAATGGTAAAACTTGTTGCGTTAATGGATCATTTCTAGCTGAGATCTCTCCCGTACCTTGATGGTTGAGGAGAAGCTTGTAAAAATTTGAATTAGTGGATATCGTGTAATATTGCGCTCAATATCGTTTTTAGAGGCGAATAAGGAGATTTAGTACATACATATTTTCTTATAATTGTTCAAAGGTAACCAACGAGTCCACTAGAACACCAATTGTTGCCGCAGTTCTTATAATGCAGTGCGTGAAACTTTCTCATATCAAATAATGCTCCACATTTTTCATGATATATTGTTTTGAAGTTTTGCTTGTTATGATAGTAGGGAGCTGAGTTGATGGGAAAATATGGAATCAATGTACCGAAAGGTGTTGCTGTTGCTTCCCTTGATGAAGTGAAAAAAGCAATTCAAGACGTGTTCCCTAACCAAAGCGAGGTAGTTCGAGGAAGTAGTATGCTTTGTATAAGTCTGATATCTTTGCTACAGCTAATGACAGGGGAAATGTTTTCTGCTTTGCTCTTTTGGTGATTCAGGTCGTTGTTAAGTCACAAGTCCTTGCTGGTGGACGTGGCCTTGGAACGTTCAAAAATGGATTTCAGGGTGGAGTTCATATTGTCAAGGCTGATCAGGCTGAAGAGATTGCCAGTACTGAACATTCTCCTCTACTTGATTTTTCTAAAATATTACTCTGTGGTTACAGGGCAGACCTATG